ACTGACAAGACTCATGTATATAAATCACGAGCTTTTGGAAGCCCGATGCTTCATGAGCTTACTACAACTCATTAGATGACTGACGACAAATCAAACACGTTATATCAAAAACAATTACTTGTACATGATGTTGCATATTTTCATAGGCTCTCGCATAGCTGCCTTTCTGGCAGGAATGGCATGCCACCTATTTATTTTTCGACGTGGCGAATGGGACACAATGACCTGGAAGATTATTCTCTCCACATTCTCGCTCTACGTTGGCGCCATTACTGTACTAGCCACAGTGCCGCTACAGGACGAGCCTCCATTCTCCGTGTATAGATCGGTCAGCATCGCTACCACGCTTGGACTTCTGGCCGTCTCGGGAGTCTTCGCCAGCATGGCACTTTATCGCAGCTTATTTCACAGGCTGTGTGCTTTTCCAGGACCTTTCTTAGCGCGATTCTCTAATTTCTACATCACATATCTTTCGGTCAAGAGATCGCATTTGTACGAGGAAGTTGAACAGCTCCACCAACAGCACGGTGACTTCGTGCGCATTGGTAAGGCTAAATTTGATCGTGTTCTAGTTGATGGCATAGCTCACACAACTTTCCATTAGGGCCATCAGAGCTATCTATAGCTGATCCGGACGCAGTCATGGCAATTCACGGCCCCAAGTCTACATGTGCAAAGGGCCCCTGGTATACCATCAACAATCCCATGATATCCCTCCAGATGATCAGAAGCAAGCCACAGCACGTACAACGCCGGCGGATTTGGGACCGTGGCTTCAGCGCAAAAGGTACGACCACAGGACCCCAATCTCATAAAAAGAGGTAAATGACTAACTGGCCTGATTGGCGAAGCCCTACGAGACTATGAACCCCGAGTCGTCGGTTACGCAGACCAACTTCTTTCACATTTAGCAGCGACGGAAGGAAACCCCGTCAATGTCACTGACTGGTTCAACTTTTACAGCTTCGACGTCATGGGGGACTTGGCTTGGGGCAAGTCGTTCGGTATGCTCCGAGGTGGTGTAAAGCACCACTTTATGAACTCCCTGCATGAGTTCATGGCCACTGTTGGGGTTTTCGGCCATCTCGTGTGGCTTCTTGACGTGTTGAAGGGCATCCCCATTCTGAACAGGGATTCAAAGTCGTTTTGGAGCTGGATACAATCTCAAGTCACTGGAAGAAAGAGTGTATGTTTTGGAACTGATGCCATTCGGTCAACCCTTGATCTTGGCTGACTTTGCTGATCTTTCCTGCAGATGACCCCAGATCGGCCAGATGTGTTCTCTTGGCTTTTGGAGGACCACAATAGCAAGCAACCTACTTTCCAGGATGAGCTTCTTTTGACAGGAGATGCCGCCCTTATTGCTGTGGCTGGAAGGTCAGCCGAAATGAAACATTGCTTTCTAGATTGCATTATTCTAACTTGTTAACAGTGATACAACAGCAGCATCTCTTACGTGTCTTTTCTACGAACTTTGCCGTCGTCCGGAAATAATCACGCGTCTCCAAAATGAGATCGATGAGGTCTACGCCGGCCCTGATACAGTGGACTCCGTGTCTTTATCTAAATTGCCATTTTTAAATGCGGTCATTAATGAGACTCTGCGTCTGCACCCTCCAGTACCTTCGGGGGTTCAGCGCGTCACTCCTCCTGAAGGTCTTCAAATCGGCAAGCACTTTATCCCTGGTAACACTATCGTTCAAGTTCCCACACACACAATTTGTCGAGGTAAGTTCAACGTATCCGATATCTCTCGCTGTCAATTTAGACCGGCTTATCTAACTCACTGCGCCCAAGATGAGAGAAACTTTGCTTCACCCAATGACTTTATCCCCGAAAGATGGACAACAAATCCAGAGTTGGTTAAAAATAGCGCAGCATTTGTTCCCTTCTCCGTCGGTATGTTTCCGCTCTTTTCCCCTCTTTTCTCTACACCGAGTATGGGCTAATGGGGTTGGATGCCAGGTCGTTACTCTTGCATCGGAAAGCACCTGGGCTTAATGGAAATTCGACACGTCGTCTCGACTATATTGCGAAAGTATGTTGTTGAGTTTGCTCCAGGGGTGTCTGTAGAAGCGTTCTTGGACGGCAAACAAGACAATTTTACACTGGCACTAGCGCCTCTGATGATTGTTTTCTCAAATAGAAATTAAGAACATTCTCCTGGGTATCAGAACAAGGACTATTCATTGTGTTGAGATGTCGGGACGGGCATCTGTCATTGCTGTTTGTAACTTTATACTCGAACTCTGTCCCATGTCGTCAGTACATGAGGATTCGTCCTGAGGCCTTGCCTTCGCATTTGTGATTTGGGTATTTAAAAGATCTTAGTCGCGGCCTACACTTCTTGGAAAGACCCTACATGACTATAGTTATAATACTTGGTTACATGTACGCTTCAAAACTCAAATTTAACCAAGCCATTCATACATTTCAATACTTTCAGTAATTCAGTGGTGTTAACTATCTCAACTAGTTTCCCAAGCCATAGTAGCGGGGAGTCAGTGTGAACCAGAATCCTGAAGCGCACGCGCATTTCTTGCTCTCACGAATGTATGACGACTACGAAACCTCGCCGATGCTTTGAGTGTCTAGCCTCGAAGGATTCTGTTGGCGGCAGCAGAGGGCGTTGTCATTGCTTCCATTGTCTGCTGAGCTAGTGAACGGGCAATGCCACCGGTGTATGGCCAACTGATAGCAGTTCAAAATTCGTCTGGTGAACATTTGGTAATCTGGAGGCAGCTCGCGGGTTCTTCAGTACCCGGAAACGTCAGGCCATTCAGTTTCAATGCCTTCATGGAGAAGCACCTTGTGAAACTCGCTGAATAGCCCGGCGTCTCCCTGAACTTGGTGCGGCGAGAGCCCCGTGTCCAGACAGTGTGTAGCCAGCAACCCTGCTGCCTCGCCAATGTTCCACTCAACAGGATGGAGTCTATAACACCCGTTGGTGATGTGCGTGGTCCCGATATTCTTGCAGCCTGCAAGCAGGTTAGACTGTTTTAGTGGGATTAAAGCGCCCAATGGTATCTGAAAAGGACAGCAGGCGACGTCGATGTAGTTGTCTTGACCAGTAGATGGGTGGAGATCGATGCGGTACATTCCAACTCCCACGCTGTCGGGATACTGGACTGCCCCCTTCTCGCCACGGACCTTCAAGGAGAGATGCTGCTCAACAATGGTGGTGACAGCCTTGATTCGGCGCGATTCTCGAATGTACGGTGCCATTGCCAATCCATGTTCTGTCCCTGTGATGTCGCCTCGTAGCCGAAGTCCTGGGTATCCTGTGCCCTTACCGTCTGCTCTGGGGCACGCCGTCTGTAGATAGTAGAGCATGCTGTAAGACAAAGAAGCGGCTTCGCTGAGGCTCTCTTGAAGCTCATCCTCTGTGACGTCAATGATCGGTTTCTCGAAATAATCAATCATGGGCCAGTTGACGAGACACACATCCGATTGGTAAGCTCCAGGCGCGAAATTGTCGCGCGCGGCGATGCGGCGGAAAGTCCAAAGATTCATGTCTCCGCCCGACTTGCGCTGGTCTGCAACAACCAATGTCGGGTCATCGTTGGGATTTGGAGTGAATTCGCGTTCAACAATCTCGAGTGTCCGTGGATGAGGCGCTTTCAGACCAAGGAGCGGTGCACCCCAGAATTCGGGGTGTCTATTGCGCCAAAAGTCGTAGTTCAGAGGCTTCGGTATTGTATGATCTTCTCCCTCGATATGCTCAACTGCGAAGCATATAGAGACAGCTTGGGAGTTTTGCGGCTGTGCCTCGTCAGGGGCACTGGGCTCCCCGGTATCCTGGCGTGACTCGAATCCGGTCACATATGGAGTTTTGGATAGAGGCAGAAGATCTCCAAGCTCCGTGGCGTCAATTACATAGCTAGACTTAACTGTAAAGATGCCTGAATTATCAAGACGGCGGAATGTGACGCTGCGGACGATGCCTTCTCCGTCCACTTCGCACGAGACAGGTCTTGTACGCTTCTTTATGACGAGCTTACCACCCCCAATGTAAGGCATGAGCATGGCATCTATGACTGCGACTGCGACGCGAGGCTCATGACACAGCTTGCTGACATGGCCAGCGCCCGGGTTCAGCTGTGGTCTTCGTCTTGCCTCGTCGGTCAGGGGGTAATGATCCCGATAATACTGGCGAATTCCATCACGCAAAGCCCTATAGGACCGGGTCACTCCAAACTGCTCGACCCAGCTATGCTCGTCTGGGGGCACGGCTTGGCTGGTAAGCTGGCCGCCCAGCCACTCATACTCTTCAGTCAAGAAGACGCGGCGTCCTCTGCGCAATGCTCCAAGAGCTGCAGACACTCCGCCGAGGCCACCACCGACAACGAGAATGTCGGTCGAGAAGTCTCGAGGCTGGGCTTCGGTATGAGTGCTCTGCCACGGCCTGGACAGGGTGCTGCCATTGATCTTCAATTCCCCCATTGCGATAGATTAATAAAACGGGAACAACTCAACCGATCAGCTAATAAAGGGCCTAAAATGAGGGGATAGAGCTTCAACGACTAGATGCGACCGACAGCGATGGGAGCATGAATGTACCGAAGCATGAGCCTGCTTATAATGTACCAAAGCCAACATCTTAGTATCATATCCCGCCATCTCGCTACAAGCAACGAGTTCCTCATACTGGCTACCGACGGTCCCCGAAATCGGCATAATTGTCCAGACTCTTGGCACGCCTTCGCGATTCGGATCCGTATTAAATCCCCCAGGCCGGCCATCTCCTCTTAGGGATGTCCATCGTGACCGCATAAACTAAATTAATCTGCGTGGGTGTCCTGTCCAACTGCGGGGTTGTGGCAGAGATTGGCCATCATCAACTCATCCCCTCCCGACACCTCCCCGAACCCTGCTCATTCTGCATTGCCTCGAATTCAGACTCAACGTATGCTTATCCACTCTCAACTCTGTTCGACGGCGGTGCAAACCTCTACTAATGTCTTTAATTGGTGGCATTTCGGTGTCTGATCGCGTTCCACATGTCTGAGCATCCCCTCCCGGAGGGGACCCCTCCCCTGGCACAGTCAGAGGCTCAAGGATTACGGAAACGTCCTGCTAATCCACCTTCAGACGCCCGGTACCCGCGTAAGAGGAGCTCGAAAGCTTGCCATGTGTGTCGTGCAAGAAAAACCAAGTGCGATAACGTACGGCCCACTTGCGGCTTCTGCGCCTCAATCAGCATCTCTTGCTCCTACGATGATGCCGAGAGGGACCATTCTTCATTCGATCCTGCCAGTCTCGAAATCCTCCGGCAGCTGGGGCAGGTCCTGGACTCGCAAGGTAGCCTATTGGAAGCCGTTCGCTCCATTGCAGCAACGCAGTCGTCCGAAGCAGCAGTATCAACTCTGGTACCGTCTGATGTGCCCAACATCCTTACAGGCGGAATTGCTGAGACCCTTGATTGGGTTGGTAATCATGCAATACAGCAACAAGCAGACTCGCCACTAACGCCTCGTACCGCGTCTGTGAGTGTGGCCGCAGCCCGCTGGTTTGGGCTATTCCGTGACGAGCTTCAAGAGAAGGTTGTCTCGCCTAGTGTCGAATGGGGATTTCCAGGTCCATTAGACAGTCAAGATGATAATGATATGACACAGTTGCAACGTGCAACGAAACTCATTGACGATCAAAACCTGGAGAGAGACTTTGCAAACGACGGTAGTTGTGAGCAAGATATGTGGCAAGCATCGGAAAGCATCGCATTGCTTGAGAGAGAACAGATCTTATTTGAGAACTTTGTCCATCGAATATGCTCATGGGTACGTTGTTCACTGTGCGAATGACATTTCTGTCAGTTTAGTAATCATGTTTCTCGAACAGCTTGATCTTTTTGACAACGCCCGGACGTTCTCGACGATAGTTCCGCGTCTTGCAGCCCGGAATGCGGGCTTGCTAAATGCCATCTTGGCTTTGTCCGGCTATCATCAGTCGCTCGACGAAACAATCCCCGAAAAAGAACGTATAGATCAGAATAGCGCACTGCAGTATTATTACCAAACTCTACATTATGTCCAGAAAGCTATGCGTTATTCTACCTACCAGCGTAGCCAAGAGCTGATGGCGACTACCCTTATCATTTCAACTTACGAGATGCTTCGGGGCTCCCGGCAGGATTGGCAACGGCATCTGCAAGGAGTCTTTTGGATTCTTCGGTCGCGGCAGATCGAAGTGGAAGTTTCGAGCCTTGAGAGCACGACATGGTGGGCTTGGCTGCGTCAGGATATCTGGGCGGCATTGAGAGGAAGGCGTCGAACATACAGCACTTGGACACCTAAAAAGGCCTGTTCGGACCTGAACAGCTATGAGTTAGCTTCACGTGCGGTCTGGATACTGGCTCAGGTAATAAACTTCTGTGCTGTGGGCCCATCCGAGGAGACAGAAGGAACATTTGTCGGAAGACTTGAGTGGGCGAAGGCTCTCAAGGAGATGCTCGAGGAGTGGGAATCGCATCTGACGATTGAATTCTCGGAGTTGCCTGCTATGACCCGCTATGGAAGTCAAGTTTTCAAACCGCGGCTCATACACCCTCAAAGCTTTGGTAGATTCTTCATCCCCGCAGAATATTTCTCCATGCTAATTACAATACTAGGCTTAGCCATGCAGATCCATTACGTTTCGAGGATTCTTGTCTGCGCTCATGAGCCAAGCTTGGGCGGCATGGAGAAGTTCATGCACCGGCAAAAGACAATCCAGGACAGCATAGATCTCGTCTGCGGTATAGGTCTGACCCTGACAGAAGACGCATCAAGTATGATGTCTTCACAGTGCCTGTTCATTGGTAAGTATATCCCGTGATATTTATCGAACTTGGATTGACCTCTTCTTCATTATAGCTGGCATGTTCATGCAAGACGATCGTCAGAGAGTCTGCCTTCTCGAAATGCTTGAAACTTGCCGTGACAAGTGCAGGTGGCCAGCGTCATCACTCGGCTTAGAGCTAGAACAGATATGGGCAGGTTTTGGAAAGGGTTCGTAATACAAGGGTGAATCATGATACCTAAATCATTCTACCATCATAAAATTCGCCTGTGAATGCTCCTCGGAGAGAGTGAAGAGGAACTAAACAGTCGCCTCAGATTGCGTGAAAATTCCGTGGAACTAGGTGTACAGCGTGGGTTTTCTTAATTGGATGCCAATTTCTCTATTGTAGGGATCTCCCAAATGTTCCAGAAAGGTGTCCATGGTGAGAAGGAGATACAACGGGCCGGCACTGCTTGGTGTGTCGGCATGAGCCCGATGCTCCCCGATTACATGGGCAAGTCGGTCCATAGCCGAGCATCCCCGATGGCAAGTCCAATTTCTTCCCCTGAACGTTCTCTTAACTCAGAATCCGGGGATGTGGGGTTCTGACACATATCGTCAGGGGGTCCTCAGTTCAGGAGCTTCCCTTCCAGCCAAAGAGGTTTACGGTACTTGGATTTCTGCACTCATCCCACCACTTCGGCCGTCCCTTGATACGGGAGAGCAGCCTTGCCTTGTATGCCCTTGTCAAAGAAAACAACCGCCACTCCATAGGCACAAGTCGCGCCATTAATATGCGCCATTACATCCCCCAACTTTTCTAGAGTTCCCTTCGACGCACCTAGATGAACAGCCCTTTGGCACTGGCTTTGGTCCCCACAAGAAAGGACGCTGCTACACCCAGCAGATATTTTAATGGGGTGTGCCTTGGCTGGTCATCATAATACCACGCCATCTTCAGCAACAATTGTCTCTACCTTACAACAACAATTGCGCAACTGGGAACAGCCAAACACTCTCGACTGCTAGAGTAGATCAAGGTACCTTGCAGGAAGTTTACTTCCCCATTCTGCCTTCACATCATACACTTCAACAGACATGACAATTCACTCGGTTCTCCGGCGCGTGGTTCGCAATGAAGCCATCCGTGTTGATCCCCCTGAGATTTACAATTGGCGTGTTCTTGCCCTGGCCGCTGCGGTACGTGAAATTTCATTATTGGGTTTTATTTCATCAACTGTTCTGATCTTCTTATTACGCAGGCATGCTTTGCTGGAGCACTCTTTGGGGTTGACGCAGGAATCATTGGTGGTGTCCTAGCAATGCCTGATTTCAAGCGGTAAGTATGTCTTGCTGCCATAGACATGTATCTTGAGTGCGTTTGTGGCTAACTCTCTGATCGATAGTGAATTTGGTCTTGATACTCAACCACCTAAAGCCGCTGCTGATCTATCAGGCAACCTTGTCACGACGATGCAAGCGGGAGCTGTGGCCGGTGCCCTTCTCTCCAGTCCCATTGCTGATCGCAAGGGCAGAAAGCCCGCTCTTATCGCCGTTGCCATTACGGGATTTATCGGTGGGATCATGCAAGCGTTTTCTTACGGTCATCTATCAGTTTTCTACATCGGAAGGTAAGAACTATACCAAGTAGTTTTCTTGTTCATGCGACTAATATGATGGCTAGATTTGTTGAAGGCCTGGGACTAGGCGCGGGAACAATGCTTGCGCCTACTTACGTTTCCGAAAACTCTCCTCGTGCCATTCGTGGCTTTCTAGTTGGATTCTTCCAGCTTCTCCTGGTCATGGGCGGGATGATGGCATACTTCATTAACTATGGCGCTTTGCTACATCTTCCGGTGAGTACCTATATCTCTCCTGGACCTACTCTACCGAAGATGGCTAATTGTACCCTCTCTGAGCAGCCTATGGCTACATGGATGGTTCCGCTGGCCTGCCAGTCGATATGCCCTGCTCTTTTGTTCTTCAGCATGCTAGGGTGTCCCGAATCTCCGCGATGGCTCGCCTCTCAGGACCGGTGGGATCAAGCGAGTGCTGTATTGTCGGATGTCCGGCACCTTCCTGTCGAGCACCCTTATATACAGGGGGAGCTTCTCGAATTACGAACGCAGTTGGATCAAGAAAAGGCCACCATGCAGGGTGTGGGCTTTTGGTCGCTGCAAAAGGAGTGCTGGACGGTCCCTACAAATCGGAAGCGAGCACTGTTAACTGTTGGTATGATTACATTTCAGCAGTGGTCAGGGGTTAGTCCTTTCATTTCCCATTTCCTCTCTTTCCTTCATTAATATCAAGTGATACTAACATATGCTCATCAAGACTGGTGCCATCAATTACTATGCTCCCACCATTTTCCGAGACCTTGGCCTTTCGAGTACAACTACGGCCCTTTTCGCCCAAGGCATCTATGGCATCGTCAAGGTGGTCACTTGCTTGATATTTGTATTTTTCCTTGCCGATTCTCTTGGTCGTCGTCTTTCTCTCATGTGGAGTGGTGCCTTACAGGGCTTCTGCATGTTCTTCCTAGGATTTGTGAGTAGAAGAGACCTAGGATTCTGGCACAATTCAACTGATATGAGCAGTATGTCCGGTTCGGACCAAAGATTGGCGAGAATGACAGGCCACCCCCAGCTGGCATTGCCGCTCTAGCCATGGTATACATCTTTGCCGCTGCCTTCAACATGGGTTGGGGGCCTGTATGTGAGTACTATAGCTTCAAAAGTATCTTACCTTCCAACGTGCCTATTCTTATTTATGGCGTTAGCATGGATTTACGTTTCCGAAATACCAACAAACCGTCTGCGAGCCTACAACGTTGCCTTGGCCTCGTTCACGCACTGGGTGCATAATCTCGCAGTGTCAAAGGCGACCCCAGTGATGCTGGTCTCTACGCCATTTGGGGCGTACTTTATCTTTGGGTCCCTCAATCTCACCATGGCGATTCTTGCCTTTTGGGTCCCAGAAACCAAAGGCGTGAGTAAAGTCCACCCTTGCAAGCATGAGGAATATGCCCTGGCTACTCAGGGTTAACACGAGTTTCCTTTCTAGATCTCTTTGGAACGAATGGATGAGCTGTTTGGGGCCGCCGACATGTCTAATGTAGAGGAACTCAGCGTCGCAGCGAAACACTCGAAACAGGCAAAAGAGATTGATGAGGAATGAAACGAAGTTTCCATCGGACTCGGACACCTGAAAGCTTAATTGTGGTGTAAAAAGGTATATATTTAATTATACGGAGGACCTGATGTCTTTTTTACCTCTCCCGGCCGTATGTGGGGATCCCAGTGGGTGCATTATCTAGAATCTTTTCGATCTCCTCAATAATCTCTGGAGTCAACTTCTTGGAGAGCTGAAGAGCTTTGCAGTTATCCTCAATTTGGTGAACCTTTGTCGCTCCAAGAATGACGGTGCTAACATTGGGGTTCTTGAGACACCAAGCGAGAGCAAGCTGAGAGACATTTCCACCCAGCTTCTCCGCAACAGACGTGAGCTTCTTCACCTTCTCAATCTTAGCCTTCCCTTCGTCGGTCTTAAGTGCTTCAATGCTCTTTTCGAAAAAGGCTTTGTTGGTAGCAAAGCGGGAGTCCTCCGGGATGCCATTGTTGTATTTACCAGTCAGGAGACCAGATGCAAGCGGCGACCAGATGGTAGTTCCATACTCAAACTTCTTAAAGAGCGGAGCGTACTCGACCTCGAAACGCTCGCGGTGAAAAGCATTGTACTGAGGCTGCTCCACGACTGGTGCAATCAAGTTGTAGCGTTCAGCAATCTGGGTGGCCTCGGTGATTTGTGACGCACTCCACTCCGAGGTGCCCCAGTAGTATGCAAGGTTCAGATTGCGGATGACTTGGGTGAACCCCTCGACGATTTCTTTCAGCGGAGTGGCATAGTCTGGCCGATGGGCGAACACAATATCCACATAGGGCTGGTCAAGACGCTGGAGAGAGCTCTTCAGCCCCTCAACGATGTGCTTGCGACTCAGTCCGCGCGTGTTTGGCTCCTTGCGACCCGTTCCGAAGAAGATCTTGGTGGTGAGAACGTACTCGTCGCGGGGCCAGTTGAGCTCTTTCAGGGCTTGGCCCATCTCTACCTCGGACTCGCCGTTGGCATATGTTTCAGCCGTGTCGAAGGTGTTGATGCCATGGTTCCAGGCGGTCTCCAGGCACTCCTTGACGATGCTGCCCTTCTGGGTGCCTCCGTACGTCAACCATCCTCCCAGTGACAGGACACTCACCTTGAGCCCAGTAGGGCCCAGGTGGCGGAACTCCATGTCCTTTGGGTCATAAGCGGATCGAACTGGTGACATTTTGAATCGGGATAAATTTCAGCCGAGCAAAAGAAAACTTTTTTGTGACAGATGGATGATTGATGGCGGGAGAAATGCGATGGGAACGAGGGAGGGGAAGTCTTAAATTCCACACCCCGGCCATTACTAATTACAGATAACATCATCGTTACGTGAGTTATTTAAATCACGTCAACGACTGGACACGTTACCAAGAACCACTAGTATGACCAGTTTCATATACATCGCACATATGTGAACCGCATCTGTATATTGTTCAACGGGCTAACATAGTGATCAAAGTGCTTATGCGGTGCGTAAGCAGATTAACGTTCTCCCCATGCATTGTTACATCATGTTTGAGCACGTTCTCTCGAGATTATCCACGTGACCTACACTTTTCACACTAAAACCCAAACCAAGACCCTGGATACAACCCGGGGTTAAGAAGAGTCTAAACCCCGCGGCCTACTACCGCTCGGCTCGGAATTAACTAACTAGTTCATGTCGTAGTTGGTCCATTGGGCATTGTTATGTTAGCTCACGACTTGTGGAAACATCTCATGATCCTTTGACTACAGGCACAGCTCAAGTCACTTTAGGTCCAAAATTTCATTGTTGTTTATGGCTGGACGCTCGGTAGATACCTTGTGTACAAACAATGACCAAATGTACAAGGCCAGAACACTGCTCGATCCTATCTTTGTGAGACAAACTGGGAATCCACATCGTCCGTGTTTTGAATCAAACTGCAGGTTTCGAGAGGGCCTTCCGGACCCAATTTTTGACTGATTGTGTTGCCTTCTCCGTATCGTCAGCACCCTCTTCCCAGTGCCGACATTCATCATCAATTTCCTGCTTAAGTCCGCCAGCGAATATATCCACTTCAGCAGCGTTGACAAACCTCGTACGCTTGAAGATTTTCCAGAATAGAAACATTCCAAAGAACCAGACGAGTCCAAAGTAGCTTGTAATGAAGCCTCGGTAAGAAAATGGGTAGAACACATCAAATCCGATAAATAAACAGACACAGCTACCCAACAGTAGACTAGTGTAGGGGAAGAACCAACCACCTGGAGCCACATATGGGAAAATGATGGTCTCATCATTAACTTCCGGATGCTGACTCTTTCGGCCAAGGAGCTTCGCCAACCGACCCGGAGCTTTGAAGTGATTCTTGCCAACGAGCGGGACCCCCTTCTTCTTCAGTGCTCGACGCCAGCCCAGGAAGACCCAGGACATGGCTGTAGCATTGACCACGAGGGAGACGGTAGTCAGGTCCACGAACCAGTTGAAAACCTCAATGGTGCTGTTGGAAGCGACCAGAAAAGCGAGGCAAGAGATTGCACTGACCACCATAACGCAAACCCAAGGGGCGCCGGACTTGGTGCACTTGAGCAGAATCTTCGGAGCCTTCCCATCCTGGGCCAGGGAGTACAGAGTACGACTGGAACTGTATAGATAGGCATTTCCACACGACCATCCAGAAAGCATAATGAGTGCATTGATGAACCCGGGGAGAAATCCAGAGATTCCCACGTTCATAAGCCCTAAAACCCAGGGAGATGCAGCAGCTCCCGCCTCACCTGAGTCGATGGCTCCCATCAGGCGCGGATCGCGAGATGAGCAGATAATTCCGACGGCGACAATTCCGACGATATAAACGCCAACAATTCGGTACAGAATTACTTTTGCGACTGAGGGGATGGTTTTCCGAGGGTTTCTCATCTCTGCGGCAGCGAGTGCCAGGATATCGGGACCCGCGACGGTAAATCCAGCGTATCGGACGGAAACACAGATACTCAAGAAGACGCCGGTGGCCCCTTCGGCATAGTAAGAATGTACGAAGTTGCCTCCAGACCAGTTACGAAAGCCGTAAGGATCGTGATTTGGGTTTCCTCCGGCCATAGTAATGATTGTAGCCAAAACAAGACCGGTAAGAAGGAGGATCTTTGTAGAAGACATGACGAACTCACTTTCGCCGTACCATCTAAATATAAGGTTAGTACAAGGCAGGGGAATAAGGAGACCTGGGAAGGAAACAGCTTACTTCACAGCAACCAGATTGAGCAACACACAGACTACCATAACTATAGCAACCCATACGGCTGGGTTGACCGATGTGTTCCAGAACTGTATGACAGTTGCCACCGCAGAGTACTCAGTACACACCAACATCGCGCCCGCAAAGAAATAGGTCCACCCCATGGCAAAACCAAGGGCGGGATCGACATATCGAGCAGCCAATTCATAGATGGAGCCACGGAGGGGAAGCCAGGCGAGCATCTCGGCGACAGCAAGCGATGTAGGATAGATAAAGCCGACTCCGTAGATGATATAACCGATGATGAGAGGAAGTGGCCCGGCCTTGCGCAGCACGCCGCCAACACCAACAAAGAGTCCGATTCCGATTGCTCCGGCAATCATCATAAGCTGGACATGTCGGGGAGACAGACCGCGCTTTGTCTGCTGTTGACGGTACGGTTGGTTGTCTGCATCGCGTG